CTAGCTAACCTGCCATGTGAGCATACCTTTTTTATACGCCCGTCTTAAGACGGGACGTATTATGTTATAGGCTTCGTGTCCGTCCGTCCGTCTGTCCGTCTGTCTGTTAGCTTTTTCGTTTCCGGCTCATAACTTTAATACTACTAGGCTTAGGATTATCAAACTTTGTCATCTGATGCATCTTGGGTAGAAGGTGTGTCGCGTACAAAAAGTAGGTCGCTCTGACCTTTAATTAAGAAGTTATAGCCAAATATGGAAAAATCCTTTCCGGCCCATAACTAGAAAACCATAAGACCTACAATCGTCAAACTTGGCCAGTTTATACATCTTAGGTAGAAGGTGTGTCGCGACCTATTTCAAGGTCACTGTGACCTTTAATTTAAGTGATTTTTTTAAAAAAAATGTGTCTTTTTACTATTCATTTACACATCCCAAATAATGTAAGAGTCTTGCACTGTTCTTATTAAAAAAGTGTTAAATCAAGAAAATACTTATTTTTTCTAAGCATATACTTGACAGCAATCAATAACAAAATAATATAATGTATGTCAGAGAAATCCTGCCTCTCCCATGAGTGTAATTATCAAGCACTGGTCAAGAAGAATTTTGATAACAGAAAATTGCATGTCAAATTAGAGAGAAATTAATGGGTTTTGAGTGCGAGGAGCCAACTGACAGAGCATTGCTGTTATCTATATCCCTTGAGTATTGGGCAAATGGGTAAGCCTGTTTGATTAAAAATAGCTTTTGTTGACTAGCTTAAGTTTTAAAATGAATTTGATGAAAAGTAATTAAAACTAATTTGATTTGCATAATAGACTAATCTGATATTATGTAATATTATTAATTTAAAAACTAATTTTATGGGGTGGGATGGAATCAAGCATGTCCATATGAATTAAATATTAAAACCTGTCGGACATTAAATCTCAACCAAAAAAAAAAAATCTTTGAGTATTTTATATGTTTTTAAAAAAAAATTATAGTAGATAGTGCAGACCCATTCATCTCTTGGTAGTAAAGAGTAGACAAGCATTCAGTTAAAGATTAATTAATGAGTTCAATGTTGGAAGGCTAGCTGTCTCAGTCGCTCTGATTAAGCTGTACCCTTTGGGGATTAGACAGAGGAACTGTTGGTCATTTGATGGCCAGCCTTTTCTTTTCAAAATTAATTTGGTATAGATTAAGTTGTTAAGACTAATTTGATGATGGGCATTTGACAAGGTCTAACACAACCAGCACAGAAATCTTTCGGTGATGTAATATTTATTATAATTGATGCCTACATCACAGGGGATGGATAAATATTTTAAGGAATGGAAAAATCATCAAAATCCTAGAATCAAGGTTGATGTGATTTTCTTGCACCTAAACTGTTCAAGAAAATTGTGTAATTTTTTGACGGGCGTATCATGCTGTGGCGCGGCACTTTATTGTATATTGATCTATGTACATATTTTTGATATTTGATATATATGTGTTTTGCTTAGTTAAGTTGCTTGTGGCTGGTGCTTTTGTGGGTTGGCCTTCACAGGATTCACATTCCTTCATCCACCCCACCATGTGCCACTAACTATTCCCTGTGCTATCCTACCTTGTGCTTACTCGGAGAGTTCACCTATTCTAAGACTCTCGATGCGAATTTCACTCAAGCCATGGTGAGACTATTTCATGAGCTAATGTACACCTCTTCGATTACCGTACTCATTCTTGGTGGTGCTTCCTCCTATTAGATCACTGATGCGTCGAGTCTGCAGCACACAAACTGTCGAAAAGATGTTCACGCTGGATGTGATGACCCTACACATTCCTGACTATACAATTATAACAAACATCATGTGCAATATCACTGTAATTGTTACTACCACCACTTGACTTGTTGTTATTTGTTTAAATTGTTAGAATAGGTGTGCATGTTGTGTGAAAGATTTTATTTATTTATTCTATTTTAATTTTATGTTTTTTTTATTTATTTTTTCCCTACACTCTACTCAGTTTGGGCCTTTGGAGGTTAACCATGATTTCATTCAACTGATTATTATCACTTACATGTCTAATGTATTTTATATTTCATTGCATAACAAATAAATCAGGGTGGTATGTCTGCCCAAACTTAACATTGTGTTGTCTTACTTTATGTCATGGCTGCAGTTTCTAAGTTTAAGGTTAAGCAAATTAATATAATATTAAACAGTGTTTAATTGTTATTAATTTATGTAACGTGCCTTCTCATGTTATGTAACACATACTTTTCATGCTTCGTTTATCTAAGGCACTTTACCCTCATGTAACAGTCTCTTCGTGTTATATGTTTCTGTAGTGTTAATGTCCATGACTGTTATATGTATTCATAACTTCATGTGTTTGTACGTCTCTATTTGTGTTGTATTTATTGTTTATATTGACACCATTTTGGTTTTAATTAATGGTCAATTAGTCCGGGGCTCTTAGCAATTGAGGGGTACCCCCTAGGGGGCATTCATCTACTTACGTAAATTAAAACAATAGAGGGAGACCCTCTAGGCAATATTGCCACTGGTCAAGTACTAGGCGCCCCCTGGCGACAGGGACCTTTTTAACCAATCAGAGCCCTGATTGAGTTATTTTTAAATAAAAACAAATTAATCAGCCAATCAAAAGACGTAATTTCATAATACTATCTGCAACTCTCCAGGAAAGCGTCACTTTTCTGAGAACTGGCAAAGGGGAAAGGTCACGGAATTTTTTTTTTTTTTTTTTTTTTTTTTTTTTTGTATGAGAGTAAAGTGTGAGTCTGTGTAGTAGGTCTAAGTTAGAGGTTAACCATGATTTCATTCAACTGATTATTATCACTTACATGTCTAATGTATTTTATATTTCATTGCATAACAAATGAATAAGGGTTATGTCTGCCCAAACTAAACATTGTGTTGTCTTACTTTATGTCATGGCTGCAGTTCCTAAGTTTAAGGTTAAGGAAATTAATTGTTTTTTATGCATATATCTATTAGAAATTTGGTATGTTTATTCAGAAAATATGTACCAAAGAGTAGTAGAAATTTCAGAATTTCAACATGTCCACAATTTTACCGGACAACCCTGTCGTACATGTGTAATGTGAATTAATTATAGTCTTATCATTCAAAAGATATGACCAAAGTTAAAGTTTTGTGACAGACAGACAAACAAATTGGGTTTTATGACCCCTGGCTTTCGCGAAAGTGGGGAAGAATGAACAGTAAATATAGAGCCTATTTATTTTAATTTCAATATGTGGTACGTGGTACTTTAACCCACAGGAAAAATGTTCAATCACAACAAAGTATCAGTGATCAGAAATCATTATTCTTTACTTGAATGGAGAAAATACATGTAAATGTTGTGTTCAATTAAATATTAAGAATATACCTGAATTATTTATAGATTTAGAAATATATAGTAAATTTCTTTTATTGAAATTTAGATCTATGGACAGATTACGTCTATTACTGCAGAAAAGTACCATAGGATCAGTAGGTCTACATTCGCACTACATGTACGTCATTTACGAATAATAAAACCAGAACCGCGCTTCCATTTTCCAAGATGAGATTTTTAAACTATATTGGTTTGACTTTTAAATATCCGGTAACAATTTTGCTCGAAGTTGGTCGCATCAACAAACACTGATTCTACAGTTTAAGGATAAATTAATAAAAAAAAAGAGAAGGCTGGGAACAACGTTTGGTTGACAGAAATAATAAGTAATAAAACGATATTTCTGTGAATGATGCATGTTTTAGATGCCGCGCCGAAAACACGGACCATGGACATGCTACATCAGAACATGTTGTCGGCGGCCAAGTTGAAGTAAATAGTGATAATTCGGAAAAAAAGTAATGACTACGATTTGACTTAGACAATTTATGGATTTTACTGATCAAACATTACAAAATTTACTTTGAATAATAATTATTGCATAAAACGCATACCCCCCTCCCCCAACCTGCTTACCCACGAATCCCAATGCAAAATTTTCTTTTGAATATAAGTATTTGACAAAAATTGATTCACTTGCAGCATACTTAGTTACTTTCTGTAACAAAATCATCCAGTTTCTGAGAATCAGTCAATTACTTTCATTGTCTCCAATTTACAGACAAGTGTGTATTATTATTATTATTTTTTTTTTTTTTTTGAGTAAAATAAGATAAATTTTAGGGACAATAATAGGTTTTGGGGTGTGTATAATTATTGTTTTAAATTATGTACAACTTTGTTTATACAAGTATACACTCAAACATTAACAGTATTACTGGAATATGTGGCAATATATTAATTTACTTCTAGAAGAAAGAAATTAGGGGGGTCCCTTTTAGTGTAGAGCTCATACCATGAAAAGTAATGCATCAACATATAATTTTTTTAAGCTTATTCTTTTTCTTAAATATAATGTAGTAAAAATAATGCAAATTTACGAAGTTTGAGTCCATATTTTTTTTAAATGACCGAGATTGTCCTGTGAAGCGTATTTTCTCACATTAAATTTTGATACAATAGCCTAACAAAGTGCATTATGTATAAAAATTCATGCAAAACAATGATTGTATATTTTTTACTAACATGTTTCTATTCTATTTGGGGTATTAAAAATTTTATATTTAGACTTTAATTAATTTATATACAACAAAATCTAGGATAGGTAAGTTTTCAATATTTTACATTTCGGGGTATATAACTCCGATAGGCTATAGCGGAAAAGTTAACATGCTGACATATAATTTTTCTTATGTCTATCCATTGCTAGGATGTATGTCTATCTTATAAAAGCAGATTTTTAAAGATTGAGCCCATTTAGTGCCGAGTATAGAACTACCTTAAGTATGCAGTGTAGTGAGGGTTCTGAAATCATGATTTAACAATTATGATGCATTGATTTCCTGAATTTTTTTCACATTGAAATAGAAGCATTGTATAATACAAATGGTTAAGAAGAGGTTCAATTCACAAAATGTTATATATATTATGAAGCTCCTTTTTTTATGCCAGGAAAACCAGATCCACCTGATGTATTCAGTGTCATTTGTTATGCGGAGAGTGCTGAAGTAGCATGGAAATCTTCTTTCAATGGAGGAGATGTACAAAATTTTACAGCCATTGCTTTTAAGGATGGTCAATATCAAACAAGTCGATCTAGCTCTATAACAGACAAGGGGGAAAATAAAGAACATGTGATATCGATTAACGGTCTTCAACCTTCTGTTACTTACATTTTTAAGGTTTCTGCAATGAATTCCCATGGAGAAACTTTGTCAAATACAGGTCCCACATGCAGAACAAAAGGTAACAAAATATGTATATATTTGAAATTCTTGCGTTGTGCAAATTTATTTTGTACATTTCTCAAATCAAGCAAACCTCAAAAGAATTGGTAGTATTTGTCTTTAAATAGAAAAGGCTGGTGCAAGTTTGGCGGCAATTGCTGGAGGTACAGCAGCTGGTGGTGTAAGCATGGCTGTTTTAGTCATTGTTTTAGTCATTGTTCTTCGAAGATACAGAGGACTTGGTAAGATAAGTATTGTTGTGTCTTGCATTATATTTTTTTTAATTTTACTTAACTTTGTTTACAGAAAAAGATCTACCAAGCTTCTTTCTTTTCTTTCCTTCATGAAGGGACTGCTTTCTGGGACTGCTTTGATCACTCGTGTGAAAAAAGTTCTTAGTGACATGATAGCTCTGCCCTCTTGTTCTAATTTTGCAGGCTCCCTGTTGTTTTGTTAACATGCAGCAGAGAGAAATTTAAACTATTAAAAAAGCAAGTATTTCTCACAATCTTTTTAAAAGTAGAGATATTCTCAGGGACTGTATATTTACATAAATGTAGTTTACAAAAATTAAAAAAATAAAGTTGTTAAGTAAGGAAGTCAGGAGAAGATTTTTATCCCTAGAAATAAACTGCAGGTTTATGAGAAAAAAATATCTACATGTACTAGGCCTATTTTATTATTTTAATGTAAAATTATGTACTCAAAATTTGCATTGGCACTATTTTAAAAAATCATTACAGATACATGTAGATATAAGCTACATGTTTTACAGGTTCAACACTTAAAAAAGAGTATTCCAAGCAACCCTCAAATACAACCGAAATATTTATTAATTGGCCATAAAATAAATTTAGCTACTATTCTTCCGTGACATAAACAACAATTATTGGGGAATTTGTTAATGAATTAGTTTTTAATTTATAAACAAGTTGTTTTAAGTTGTAAACTTTTCACATTTTCATCTTCTTAAGAACCATTGAGCCAATTTCAACCAAACTTGCCAGAAAGTATACTTCTGTGAAGGTGATTACAGCATGATCAAATGAAGGGCTACGCCCTCTCCAAAGGGGTGATAATTATAAACAAGTGAAAAATTAAGGCATATTTTTAAAAATGTTCTTCTCAAGAACCACAGGGCCAGGAAAGATGAAACTCATGTGATAGCATCCTCATGTAGTGTAGATTCAAATTTATTCAAATCATGACCTCCTGGGGAAGGATTGGGCCACAATGGGCTATCAAAGCTTTTCAGAGGAAAATATATGAAAAATATTAAAAAATCTTCTTCTCAAGAACCACTGGGCCAGAATAGAGACTACTCATGTGGAAGCATCTTCTGGAAGTGTTAATTCAAGTTTAATCAAATCATGACCCCTTGGTATGGTGGGGGTGTGGGGTAGGCAGGGCTACAATGGGGTATCAAAGCTTAAAAATTTTAAAAATCTATTTCTTAAGGACCACTTGGCCAGGAAGGATGAAACTCATGTTGAGGCATCCTCATAAAATGTAGATTCACGTATGTCCAAATCATGACCCCCGGGATATGGGGGGCACAATTGCGTGTCAAAATTGTACATAGAAATACATAGAAAAATTTTTTTAAAAATTTTACATCCACTGACTTAGGAAAGATGAAACTCATGTAGAAGTTTCCCATGGTTGTGTACATTCAAGTTTGTCCAAATCATGACCCCTAGGGGGTGGGGGGGGGGGGTAGGGGGACCACAATAGGGTTTAACATAGAAATGCATATTAAAAACTTTACAAATCTTTTTCTTAAAAACCACTGGGCCAGGAAAACGAAACTCATGTAGAAACATCCTTTGTTAATGTAGATTTAAGTTTATTTAAATCATGACCTCAGGGGGGTATGGTGGAGCCACAATGGGGAATCAAAGTTTAACATAGGGATACAAAGTGAAAAACCTTTTAAAATCATCTCTGAAACAGCAGAACCATGATTGGTCATAGTCCTATGAAAGCATCCTCTGATAGTGTAGATTCAAGTTTGTTCAAATCATGACTATTGGGGGTAGGATGGGGGCACAATGGGGGATCAAAGTTTAACATAAGAATACATAGGAAGAATCTTTAAGAATCTTTTTCTCATGGAAAGCAAAGCCATGATTGGTCATATTTATATGGAAGTATGCACTGGTAGCGTAAATTAAAATTTGTTCAAATCATAACCAATGGATAAAATAAGTAATTATTTCAGCGAACATTTATAAGGCCCTTGGTTTTATTAGCTCACCTGAGCCGAAGGCTCAAGTGAGCTTTTCTGATCAAAATTTGTCCGTCGTCTGTCGTTGTCGTTGTCGTTGTTGGCGTTGTCGGCGTTGTCGTTGTCGTTGTCGTAAACTTTTCACATTTTCATCTTCTTCTCAAGAACCACTGGGCCAATTTCAACCAAACTTGGCAGAAAGTATTCCTGGGTGAAGGGGATTCAAGATTGTTCAAATGAAGGGCCACGCCCTCTTCCAAGGGGAGATAATTATGAATTAGTGAAAAATTAATAGCATTTTTAAAAAATCTTCTTCTCAAGAACCACTGGGCCAGGAAAGATGAAACTCATGTGGAATCATCCTCAGGTAGTGTAGATTCAAGTTTGTTCAAATCATGACCCCCGGGGCTAGGGTGGGGCCAAAATGGCCGACCAAAGTTTTACATAGGAATATATAGGAAAAATCTTCTTCTTAAGAACCACTGGGCCAGGAAAGATGAAACTCATGTGGAATCATCCTCAGGTAGTGTAGATTCAAGTTTGTTCAAATCATGACCCCCGGGGCTAGGGTGGGGCCAAAATGGCCGACCAAAGTTTTACATAGGAATATATAGGAAAAATCTTTAAAAATCTTCTTCTTAAGAACCACTGGGCCAGGAAAGATGAAACTCATGTGGAATCATCCTCAGGTAGTGTAGATTCAAGTTTGTTCAAATCATGACCCCCGGGGCTAGGGTGGGTCTAAATTGTGCGTCGCAAAGTTTTACAGAGGAATATATAGGAAAAATCTTTAAAAATCTTCTTCTTAAGAACCACTGGGCCAGGAAAGATGAAACTCATGTGGAATCATCCTCAGGTAGTGTAGATTCAAGTTTGTTCAAATCATGACCCCCGGGGCTAGGGTGGGGCCAAAATGGCCGACCAAAGTTTTACATAGGAATATATAGGAAAAATCTTTAAAAATCTTCTTCTTAAGAACCACTGGGCCAGGAAAGATGAAACTCATGTGGAATCATCCTCAGGTAGTGTAGATTCAAGTTTGTTCAAATCATGACCCCCGGGGCTAGGGTGGGGCCAAAATGGCCGACCAAAGTTTTACATAGGAATATATAGGAAAAATCTTTAAAAATCTTCTTCTTAAGAACCACTGGGCCAGGAAAAATGAAACTCATGTGGAATCATCCTCAGGTAGTGTAGATTCAAGTTTGTTCAAATCATGACCCCCGGGGCTAGGGTGGGGCCAAAATGGCCGACCAAAGTTTTACATAGGAATATATAGGAAAAATCTTTAAAAATCTTCTTCTTAAGAACCACTGGGCCAGGAAAGATGAAACTCATGTGGAATCATCCTCAGGTAGTGTAGATTCAAGTTTGTTCAAATCATGACCCCCGGGGCTAGGGTGGGGCCAAAATGGCCGACCAAAGTTTTACATAGGAATATATAGGAAAAATCTTTAAAAATCTTCTTCTTAAGAACCACTGGGCCAGGAAAGATGAAACTCATGTGGAATCATCCTCAGGTAGTGTAGATTCAAGTTTGTTCAAATCATGACCCCCGGGGCTAGGGTGGGGCCAAAATGGCCGACCCAAGTTTTACATAGGAAAATATCGGAAAAATCTTTAAAAATCTTCTTCTCAAGAAACACTGGGCCAGGAAAGATGAAACTCATGTGGAATCATCCTCAGGTAGTATAGATTCAAGTTTGTTCAAATTATGACCCCCAGGGGTTGGGCGCGGCCAAAATGGCTGACCAAAGTTTTACATAGGAATATATAGAAAAAATCTTTAAAAATCTTCTCAAGAACCACTATGCCAGGAAAGATGAAACTCATGTGGAATCATCCTCAGGTATTGTAGATTCAAATTTGTTTAAATCGTGACCCCCGGGGCTAGGATGGGGCCAAAATGGCTGACCAAAGTTTTACATAGGAATATGTAGGAAAATCTTTAAAAATCTTCTTCTCAAGAACCTTTGGGCCAGGAAAGATGAAACTTATGTGGAATCATCCTCAGTTAGTGAAGATTCAAGCTTGTTCAAATCATGACCTCTGGGGCTAGTTTTGGGCCCAAAATGGCTGACCAAAGTTGTACATAAGGATATATACGGAAACCTTTTAAAATCTTCTTTTCAAGTACTTCAAAGCCATGATTAGTGATATTTTTCTATTTATATGGAATCATCATCAGGTAGTGTAGATTGTACATTGTTCAAATCGTGACACCCAGGAGGGTTAAAATTCAAGCCCCCCCTTTCAGTTTTGATCTGATATGTGCTTTTTCCTAGTAGATGTGCTCAGGTGAGCGATGTGGCCCTTGGGCCTCTTGTTATTACTTAATTACTGCGAACATATTGCTTTTCAATACATATTATTGAATGGGCTGTTTAAGTATTTTATTAACTCTAAAATGGTTAAGTATACTATACGAACTGTCTATCTTTAAATTTTATTAGCATTTACTGCTGTACATGTGAAAATGATTACTTGATTTTCATTTTAATGATAAAATTATTTGTTCTTGTTATTTAGAAAAACCAGCTGCGAAATCTCAAAGGTATGTTTTTAATGATATTCTTCAAAGTTCTTTTAAAGACTAATAGATTTTTTTTTACTTTCTGAATAAATAAGGCTTAGGGGCCCGTGGGGATCCGGGTTAGAATAGGTCCTCAGTACCACCTTGCTAGTCGTAAAAGGCGACTAAATGGGGCGGTCCTTCGGATGAGACCGTATAAACCGAGGCCACATGTCACAGCAGGTGTTGCACGATAAAGATCCCTCCCTGCTCAAAGGCCGTAAGTGCCGAGCATAGGCCTAAATTTGCAGCCCTTCACCGGCAATGGTGACGTCTCCATATCAGTGAAATATTCTGGAGAGGGACGTTAAACAGTATACAATCAATCAATCAATAAGGCTTAGGCTCAAAACACAATAATATTCTTTCAGATATCTGAATTTATAAGATATGTCTGATAGAATGACATCCGTTACAATTTAGAGTGAAAGACCTCATCAAAATCATCCTTAATTTTAAGATTTATTGCATTTGAGGAAGATCTTTACTTTTACAGATTCGGTTTTAATTTGACACACCAATATAAATTTTTATTATCACTTGTCTTTTGAAATAAAATCATTTTGGATATTTAAAAATAATTAAACAAGTGGCAAATATGGTTTGCAGGGCTGATACGGATGAGTATCACACCCTTAGTAATTAAACCTCAAAAACGGTACTTCTGATCATACATGTGTACACATACTTTGAAGATTACATTATTCTCTTAAGGTTATCCGATCCCCGGGTTCTGAAAATGAGGCATTAAGTAATTGAAAATGCTCTCAAAGATGTCTCTAAATTTTCAAATTAAAATGTATTTACACACGGTGTTTCTTTAAACTTCATCTTTAAATTTAATCATATTATATTATAGGGAAAATTAGTAAATCTCAAATAATTTTTCAGGAAATGCGATTTGAACTACCTACTGCATATTTTTTACTTGATAATTGATCAAGAAATACATTTTAAGAACAAAAATCATAGCTATCCAGGCTTTTAAAGAAAATTGCATGAATTTTACACTTATTTGATACTTTACTTTCTCCTACTTACTTCCATCGTTTCATAATGCATAGTGTATAAAGTGTTTCCTTTCAAAGAAAACACTGTAAATAACTTCTAATTTCAATTCATGCTCATAAACATTGGTAACTAAGGCTAAATTAAAAGAAATTTGGAATTTTTTAAAATATGCAAGTTTTACTTAATTTTATGAGGTACAAATGTCAACTTTTTTAATACAGTTTGTTAAAACTTTAAAGAACATTGAATCATAGGTAGAGGCATAAAATGAAAATTGGTGCATGAAAAAATTTCAATTTCAAGCTTTATTTGAAGACTTTTTGAATTAAATTATAAATTAAAGAGTTATCCTTCCTGGCTGAGGATCGTATATCCTTAATTTTAAGGATAATCTAATTGAAAAATAATAGATTATTTTCAATTTATTTGGGGGCATTTGAAATAGAAGTACATGTAGAAACAAACCCATACCGTATGAGACAACAGACCGTGTACATTGTAAGAAGTCCGTGCAAAATTATTTACTTATTTTCTTCTAAACTTAATGTGTTCTGTATTATAAGGTCTCCTGAGTACCTTAGGTGACCTATTGCTATCCGTTTTCGTCCGTCGTTGTCCGTCGTGTTTTAACATTTAAACATTTTAAGCTTCTTCTCTGAAACCACTGAACCAGTTTCAACCAAGTCCTCAACCAAAATTGTGAAATTTATGGCCCCAGGGTCAGGGGTACATGTACTAGTGCTAGGGCTAGGGTGGGGCTATATAGATTACATAGTAGTGAAAATGCATTATTTCTTTGAAAATCTTCTTCTCTGCTCTTGGGTATTAAGTAAACTAACTAGGTATATAGTTATGATGAGCAAGAGTGCTTCTTCCAACTTTGTGTTTATAATGGCCCCAGGGTCAGAGGTTCTGGTGTTAGTGTGGGGCTCTATTGATTATATAGTGAAAATGCATTAATTCTTTGAAAATCTTCTTCCCTGCTCCTAGTATTAAATAAAGCAATTAAGTACATAGTTATCATGAGAAAGAGTGCCTCTTCCAAAATTGTGAATGTTTTGGTCCCAGGGTCAGGGATTCCGGTGTTAGGGCAGGGCTCTATTGATTATGTAGTGAAAATGCATTAATTCTTTTAAAATTTTCTCTGCTTCTGGGTATTAAATAAACTAACTATGCACATAGTTATGTTGCAGAAGATTGTCTCTACCAAAATTGTGTATTTTATGGCCCCAGGGTCAGGGGTTCTGGTGTTATGGTGGTGCTCTATTGATTATATAATGAAAATGCATTAATTCTTTGAAAATTTTCTTCACTGCTCCTGGGTATTAAATAAACCAACTAAGTACATAATTATGTTGAGCAAGACTGCTTCTACCAAAATTGTGAATTTTATGGCCCCAGGGTCAGGGGTTTTGGTGTTAGGACAGGGCTCTATTGTTTGTTTTTTTTAATTCACACAACATACAGCATTATTTACATATTTCAAAAGAAACAGAATGATGTGGTTTTTTAGCTCTACTTGTCAGTGACCAGAAGAGATTATGCAATAGTAATGCGTTCGGCATCTGTCCGTCTGTCTGTAAACATTTTTTCAAAATGCTATTTCTGCTAGAATTTTCGGTGAAATTCTTTCAGAACTCTACTCCTTCTACAGTTTTGGTCTGATTTCAATATGACTTGGCACACAAGTAGACTAGACTTAGATACAAATTTCTGTATATCGGTTTCTGATTTTAGTCAAGGGTGTTGCTATTGTTACTAAAAACTTGGCACACAATTAGACAACATTAAGATACATAATTCTATGTATCGTTTTTTGATTTTGATGAACAGGTTACTGTGGTTAGGAAAAATAGAAATTTCTGCGAAATATTTTTTAAAAATGCTACTCCTCCTACGGAATTGGTCTGATTTCAATATAACTTGGCACACAAGAAGACTACACTAAGGTACTTCATTCTGTTTATCGTTTTTTTTTTATTTTATTTTGATGAATGGTGTTGCGATTGTAACTATAAATAGAAATTTCTGTGAAATTCTTTCCAAATGCTACTCCTCCTACAGTTTTGGTCTGATTTCAGCATAACTTGCCACACAAGTAGACTACACTAAGATACACAAGTTTGTGTATCAGTTTTTGACTTCTATAAACATTATTGCCTTGGTTACTGAAAATAGAAATTTCTGTTAAATACTCTCAAAATGCTACTCTAAATACAGTTTTAGTCTGATTAGAATATAATGTGGAATGCAAGTAGACTACACTAAGAACATAGAGAGACTTATAATCAAGGATCATTATTCTATTCATTGCTGTTGTAAAGTTTCAAATTGCAACTGTCACAGGGGGATCCGGGTTAGAATAGGTCTCAGTACCCCCTTACTTGTCGTAAAAGGCGACTAAATGGGGTGGTCTTATGGATGAGACCATATAAACCGAGGCCCCGTGTCATCGTGTCACAGCAGGTGTGGCACAATAAAGATCCCTGCTCAAAGGCCGTAAGTGCTGAGCATAGGCTTAAATTTGCAGCCCTTCACTGGCAATGGTGACGTCTCCATATCAGTGAAATATTCTGGAGAGGGACATTAAACAGTATACAATCAATCAATCAAATTGCATCTGCTTAAGTACTTTTCCTTTCCTTTATTATCAGTCTGATTAAAATCAAACCTTCACTAGCTCCTTTTTATTTTGTTTGTCGCGTGAAAGTCTGAAGAAACTCCATATGAGATCACGTGTGGATGACCTATTAATTAGCATATGCGAAATATAGGTCGTGACCTTTTTTAACCAATCACATTGTGCGTTCTTTAAATGCTTCATAGAAATCCAAATAACCAGTAAACAAGATGGCGTCCTCAACATTTCGTTCAAATTGTACAATTGGGAGAAAAGAGGAGCCATTAGAGTGAATCATTACAAAGAAATATATAAAGGCTTTACCAATAATAGTTTTCAGCTTATAAACGGCAAAGCCATTATGTATCATTTCAATTCAAAATCATCCTCAGGAAGTGTAGATTTACGTTTGTTCAAATTTAGTACTCCACCACCCCTGAACCTGATTTATATTTTATTATATCTAGACTTTTCAATACTGAACGGATTCTTGGTTTAACCTAGCCAGTTGCTCAGGTGAGCGGTATGGCCCCTGGGCCTCTACCCTTGCAGAATATTCCTGAGATGTCCTAAGAAATCCTAAGACAATCTTAAGATTTATTCCTCGGATATCTTGAAAAAATCCTAGGATTATTCCTAAGATATCCTGAGATGTTTTTGGAACAGGAATTCCTGGGATTTCCTTGGACAGTCCCAATTCAGGGGTTCTAGAAAAATCCCAGGAATCAAAACACCAAGACTTCCCAGGATATCCCAGGAAAATCCCAACACTTAAAATGTCCTAGGAAATCAGGAATTCCTAGGATTTCCTAGGATATCCTAGCCTCCTAGGACATCTTTTTCTTTAAAAAATCATACATAGCAACAAAGCAGAATTATAAGATCTCTGAAAAAAATTTAATGAATGTATGCATTATAAAAATTCATGGCCACACAGAAAAAATAATACATAAAATAATTTTTTAAAAATGCTGATGGTATCTGATTCAACAAATTCTTTACAATTTTACTGCTGTTACATATAGTGCAGTTATGATTCAACATCATGATTTACACACAAGGGGGGAAACAAAAGATTGTCTTATTTTCAAATTATGTTAATACATTCTGAAGCAGCTCTCATAGAATATTTATGATATACATGTACAATGACAAATATTAATAATAATAAAAAAATATTTAAATCAACAACCTAATGTAGAGAGTAGGGGTGAGGCCCTCAGGGTTTGTCACTTCTGAAGAATTCTGTACAATAAAAGATTCAGATACCAAACAGAACTAATTCATAACACCCCTCCCCCCATAAAAAAACAAAAGCAGTATGCACCTGGTGGCATCAAAGTTTGAAAAA